GGTAGTTTTACTTAATAAATTTAAAATACAAATTAATTTCAAATTTTCAAGAATATTTTATGTCGGTTGACACCAATGTCAAAATTCTAACAGTTCCGCAGAGTAGAAAGGACACCCTACAAATTATATAACATGTTTGTATCAGATTAAGTAGTTGTATCGACAGCACGAGCGTGGATTACAATAATTGCATAAAATAAAGATATAAAAATAAGTGGAACATACACAATTCGTGCGATGCTATGACAAAAAAAAATAGGCAAGAGAAAATTATAAATTTAAGGACACATTGACACAGAGTAACAGCAATAAACAATAAGAAGTGACGAGTCACTAAAATTCAAAGTAAAAAAATATATAGAAATGCGTTTCTAAAGAGGCTGACAAAGCTGTCGTCAACAGTTGTCTTAAGGATACATTCTAAACTATATGAATAGACGCGATAAAACCAAAAACCTTTTCATTTTTATTTAAGTATGTTAGAACAATTAGCTTTTTGTACATTTAGTGACCATTAAACCTTCAAAGTTTTGGCTTTGTCAATAAACACCTTTACCACATTTCGTAGTGCATTAGCATATTATATTTCATATCAGTATTGTCCAACTTTGGTATGCTATAGGTGCGATGTGCAGTTAAATCACTTTATATCATTCTATAAAAAATACGTATAAATTCGAGCAGTAGTGATTAACTTAAATGTTAAAATTCTTTCAGTAGAGATTTCTTTATATAAATCTAATACTAATTCCACTACACTTCCATTGAAGTTAAATTTTATTATGGCTGTTAGTACAGCTTAAGCCTTTTTGCTGATGCAGAAGCTTAGTTTAATTTTTTTGTCAGTGAAATTCTCATAAAGTCCGTTACAAAATAAAAGAAGAATCTTTGTGAAAAATCTTTTCTTATGCCACGAGTTAATCGTACACTTTCTTCCAACTAACAAAATAACATATTGCGCGTTAGATAACTCTACAATTATTATTATATTACTCTCCATTATAAAACAAACGCAACAGACTTCATTCCCACAATTAAGTCGAACCTTGGCAAATTATGATTTTAACTCGACTAAAGTTACTGATCTGTAAAGTCGGCCGCCGAACATAATTATTGCGGTTTACAAGTGACCGGTCACACTTTTCTTCGCTTTTCAAATCCTCAGTGAAAGAGTCACAACAAAACAGTATTTTTTTCGTTAAAAAAAATAAAGTACTTGACAACATACAATACTCAAATCCCAAATAAAGAAGCTTTAGTACTTTAGCAGTAAATCGGAAAAAACAAAAGTATTACAACAGGAATCGAATCCTGGGCCTTAGAGATGGCGACATCTTGAAACTAGCGTGAAAGCCACTTGACCAAGGAAGTTATTGTTATATCAGTTTTTATTCTTAATTGCAAAATTTCATTTCAAGAAGTGCTTGACTAATAGCATAGTCCAAACGATTTCTTCAATAGCTCAGTCAGATGAACACATGTACGGTATGCGAAAGATCACAGTCTAGCCTTACCAGAGACAACAATTTTTATTTTTCTAATATGACAACAGCCTAATTATTTATATCAAAACGCTATACAGCTCTTATACAAATAAAACTCTTTTGATATTATAACGTATTATTAAAAAGGCGTAATGGTGTACCATAAAAGTGTTATAGTGACATAACATTATAATTCTTACGGATACTAAGTGGAAACAGTTCCTCCATGGTGGAATAAGTCGAGTCGCTGCATATATTACTTTTACTGTTACGACTGAAACAATAGATACCGGCACTCTATAAATTATTCCGATGGGAACAATAAAAGGCTCTCACTCAACGGAGCTAAAGAAAACGTAGGTATATCTGCAACAGATAGATTAAATATCTATGATATTAACGTAAAAGATCTTTCAATCAACACCTCATCAACTCCAGTCTATTAATGTCCCCATTTCTGGGGCTCAGGCCCTTCCTGTGGATGGAATCGAATTGACTTGAATAGAGAGAATGGGCCCTGACCTACCAAATGGTCCCAGTGTAGATTGGTGGGCGAGACCATATGACTCGCACTGTCAAAAGGTTATTAGATTTTACAAACTCTACTTCTAATTCAAAACATGTGAAAACCTTTCATCGTTCATTAATGTTCCTAATACTAACATAATTTAAGATTATACTAAGAATATATAGAAATATTTTTCTGGAATAAATGTTTATTATTATTTTATACTATAGTTCTCTCTTGTAGAAATACTTTTTTATTAGTTTAAAATGACATTACCGATAACAAATTATCAAGAAGGTTCCTTTCTCAACCTGCCCTTTTCAGGGAGGAGTAGTTCGAGAGCCTTGATTTGAGATTTAAAGTACATTACGCCTGTATTATAAAAAAAGAAGAATAGAATGCACTGCGTTAAAATACACGTAGTTTAGATAAAGCTGAAAACCGTAAAACATTGCATACATTGCGGGTCGCGGTTGCAGTTAGCTAATGTGTGAACATAGAAAGAAGGCTATAGTCTTACTTTTATGTTATAACAATTATGCTTATTAAATTTATGGCAATAGGTATTCAGCTTTTTTTAATAATAAATTAAATTTTGAAATGGTGTGTAAGCATATACACAATTTAAATAAGATTTTAAAAACATAATGTCAAAGGACAGCATTTCTAAAAATAAATACATATATCACGAGATACGAAAATACGATTGAATCTGCAAAAAAAATATCATAAAAGTCGATTTCGTGTATGACATTTGGCCTACAGTGATAATTAAGTTGAAATAATTTAATATTCCACTCCCAAGGTGTGCCGAGTAGTTTTTGCATACATTTACAATAGAAGTGTCAATTTGGTGTGCGTTAATTTGAGCTTCATTTGGATAATATAGACTTGACGTCATAGTCTCTATGTAAACAATTTTATATTTTTGTTTTTTTTTATTAAACCACAAATCAATTGTTAACAAATCTGCATTCAAAATAATAATTGACATTATTAACTAGAGGACCTGACGAACTTTGTTAACAGACATACAATGACCAGATTTACGATTTTAAAATTAATAAAAATTTATTGAACGATACTTTTTTTTTTATGGGATAGGTGACAGACGAGCAGACGGATCACCTGATGGTAAGTGATTACCGTCGCCCATGGACACCTGCAACACCAAAGGGGCTACAAGTGCGCTGCCGGCCTTTGAGGGATGAATATGATCGTAGGGAGGGAAGGGTTGAGGGGTAGAGGGAAGGGAATAGGGAGGGGTTGGGCCTCCGGTACCCTTACTCACACAACGAAACACAACGCAAGCGTTGCTTCACGTCGGTTTTCTGTAAGGCCGTGGTATCACTCCGGTCGAGCATTTATGTCAGTTGCGTTTTATTATAAGAATCATAACTATCGCTGATTTATTGAGAGCTAGTTTATTTATTATATTTATTTATAAAATATAATATTTTAATACTTATTCCTATTCCCGACGAAGACAAATCCAAAAACGCAAATATCATAAAAATCGGTCCAGCCCTTCTTGGGTTATCAATTGAAATTTAAGTAAGATTTACGAGATATAAGTTATTAAGCCCGAAAGCTACTTAAGTGGAAACGTGGTTGGTATACATGGTATATACCCACTAAACACCTTCGTGCACTCTCTCCCTTTTGGTGGAGGGGAATAAGACCCAGCAGACATCGCTCCACACCCAGCGCCTATCTAATCCTGCTAGTTTGTTAGTGCTTTCCAAACAACCTTATATTATATTCTGAGATCATACTACCCAGTAATCAACCTGAGAAGGTGCTACTATACACACATAATGGCTAAATCTTGCTTCAACAACAGCGTTTACACCGCGCTAAGGAGATAGTTATACGACAAGATTTGTAACATAACATATGGTACAAAAAAGAAAATTGTACCGATACCGGATGTCGCACGACCAGTTACAGTAATATCGTATTACTTCACGCGTCCATACCGGAGCAACTGAACAAAACATAATTAATTTAGATTCGATCGAATGACATTCCTTTGACATTCCTTTTGACAAAAAAGTGTCTTGCTTATAATTGCGCCTACTTCATATGTTCTTTATTAAATAAAATGCGGTACTTGTCACTTTTGCATTGTCATCGATGAGGCGTTGGCAATACACAATGGCCGAGTGGCGCCGGATTCTAGATGTCGCCATATCTGAGGTTCCGGGTTCGATTCCCGATTGAGCTTTCCTAATATTATATTGCGTTTGGTTATTGTGTTACCTTCGTTGCTAAAAGCTTTTTACTTTGGACTCTGAGTAATGTATCTATGTGATAATGCGTAATTTTTATTACAATTTTATTGTGATTTTTATAAAAAATCGAAACGAATGAAACTGTAATATACAACGTTCCACTTTATTAAAGAATATTATTATTTTCCACCAATAGAAGGTACTGAAAAAATGGTCGTTGTTTGACAAAACTACAAATATTAATATAAAATAAAACAATTAGCATCGGTTACGTAGCCGTCTGCAAATGTCTGCAAGACATTTGATTATTACGACTTTTGTATTATACCTGTCTGCAATAAATATTTATTACCAAACTGACCATTTAGGTATTTCCAATAATATACTGCCCATAATCTTCGAGCATCTTTTTTCTTCTATATAATTATGACTTTGTTTAAGATTTCAAAAGACGTTAACGGTGTACATCTAATTCTCCTTATATATTTGTCATAAAACTGTGTGTTTTCAACTCTAATGGACGAACAATAAGATCTAAAATTTCACATTAGACTCATATCTCGAGCTTCTTGATCATTTCTCGAGTGTCCCGAGTACATCATGATACCAGAGCAAGTCCGTTGGGTCTAGGCAAACTAGTTTTGCCTAGTATGCCAAGTTTCATTAAACCGGTTGTTCAGAGTTGAACTTTTACAACTACATTTCCAACAACTAAATCAGGGAATTCACTAGACGGGCATGCACGAGGGCAAGTCATTTTTATAGAAAACATACCTGAATATTAGCGATGCTCTATCAAAAGTCGCGTCACAATCTGAAATAAATAAATATATTTATTAATATAAAAAAATGTTAATGTAATATTCTAAATAAAACGATAAATATGTACCTATATAATATTATTAAGTAAACAAGCTTTATTATTAATAAGGATAATAACTGGCTAAGAAAAATTGAAATTTTATTTAATTCATCAGATAGGTAATAGAAATATGTATGTATGTATTAGATACGTGTTTGTTTACTTCAATTTAACAAGAAATAGCTTAGATAACGGGCATTAAAGTTGAGGTGCATGTGCTCGCTACGTCACAGTTTTGTATGAAATGTACAAAGGCGTGACATCATGTGACATTTTAACCCCATGTATTGTCGTAATTTAAGGACTAAAAAATGTTTGATATTTTCCAACAATCTACCTGACGGACAAACGAAAAAAGTTATCGCCCTTTTAATTGTAAAGAATAAACAAAGCACAATTCGATATGAGCAACACAACAATCCTCCTCCTTTGTTTTGTAAAGCCAATACACCTACAATGTCAAATCATTTGCTAAAGAAATTCAAATTTCAATTTACGTATAAAAAAGTGGCAATCCATTGTGACAGTAAATTTTCCTTGTTCAGTATTTTAAAATTGCCATCGTTATTTTATTAATAAATTTCTCAAGTGCATTGTGACATTTTGTCATTCCACAAAACATTCACGATGATACAATCGTTGGCTGTTTGCAGAAGTAATTCTTTGACAGCGATCACCGGATGGGGAACCAAAAAATGTAATTTATCGAACTCCGCCATTCGAAAAGCATATCAAACTGTTAGTTTTAGGTAGTAGGGGACCATTGCGGTATAGAAAGAGAGGACCAATCGCCCTAAGGTAAGGTATTTACACACGTGTTTCGCTTCCTTATCATTCATCTGCAGTCATGGGTACACACAGAACAATGAAAAGAGGTTTTCCTTGTTCTGTGGGTATACCCAAGTTTTGGGTAATGGGGAGGTTAAATCTGAGCCATCAACTTTTATAATGAACAGTAGATAGGCACTCAAAATTCAGGGGGAACAATTACCCTCCTCCACCTCCCCTCGATACCATGTCTGCTGCCGTCATTAATACCCGACAATTCGGACAGGTAATTTGAGTTGTGGGTTAGAGCACGTTCTTCATAAATTCATCATAAAAAAGGCTACCGCAAACAGTAGGGAAATTAATTTTATAAAGCATCTTTCTCAACTGCTGATGCCTTTAATATTAAAGTTCTAGCATTTTGGCAAATATCTTCTGAATTCTAATTGACCTTTATAACCTGTGTCATTTAACAAAATGTTTCATGTTGGATTTAGAAGAATACGAAAGAGAAGAAGCACGCGAATAAGTTTTATGTATTGAAATATGAATAACAAGATCAGAGATTGATTAATTACTGATACACTATTTCACCGGTGTTGTTATTTTTTTTTGTTTATTCTTTAAATGAAAGTTTAGTTACGCAGTAAATATGTTAACCCTAAAGCAGTGGTGTTGTTCTGAATATTAAATATTTAACAATGCTTAACCTTTGAATGTAATTATTTAATGCATGTTGCTGTGGTTGTAAACAAGAAGTCGTTTACTACGTTAAAACATTGTTAACCTTTTACGCATGACTACTGACGACACGAAACGTTAAGTTTTATAAGAAGATAAAATATTATTTCATTAAATTATAATTTATAATTTTGTAAACAACTACTAATACATTGTAAACATGCGGTGCCATTTAAATATGATTCGTAAATTCAACACCTGAGAAATTATTCTAGTATCGACTACCTCATCAAAATTCTTTGGACTGCAGACCGATCTATTTTGTTTTCAATTTCTACTCCAATCAAATTTACTCGGTATTTTTTTATTGATTTTTACTACAAAATACAATAAATCAAATTATTGTGAAACCACGACATTACACAACGCAAAATAGCTACTGTATATGTTTTGGGTTGTTTAAATGTTGTTCTTATGCGTTCTCTATAAAAAAGACTTCATAAAATAATAAATATGATTATTTCATATTATATTTGGAAGTATGGAGAGCCTGTCTCAAAAAACGAAATATACCTATTACATATTTAACGCGAAAAGTTTTTGGCGCGAGTTTAGTCAGAGATTAATAGATTTTTTGCAACATAAATTTTTCAAATAACTCAAAACGTCACCTTCCATAAGCTCACCGCAAAAGAAAAAACATATTTTGTAACGTAATATTATACTTAATACGTCGGACGAAAGTGAAAATAATGAAAGTAAGAGGTGTCCAAGCCAATAGCCGGCCAAATAATGATGAGCCCTGATCGAAACCAGTTTGGGCTAGGCAGTTTAAGCTGTATACTGAGATTATTACGTATACTATAAAAACAACATCAATGTATTACGTGAAAGTAGTTACGTAATCAATATTCAATCGATAAATGCTTTTTGATAGTGTAATTGACATGTTTTATTATTTACTAAGCGATTGCTAGTAGACCTGTATTGTACTAGGATTACTCGTTTTAGCTGAGAATTTAAATATATTTTAAGTTCATAGAGTAAAACATGATGTTAACATATAATAATTAATGCGTGAAATAAAAAATTTTGAATCACTTTTTTCAAAAATTGAGCAGAAGAAACACTTTGAAATTTGGCAGAGTTACCAATTTAAAAAGAGGATTGTCTTTTAAACCATTATCCGACCAAAATAAGTCAACACGAAATCTTACCTTAATCTTTCCTCTTCTGTCATTGTCAATTTGCTTTATGCGGACGATGGTTTAAAACAAATACCTACTTACTTTTGGTCGCGTTTTAGAATATTTCATACGAAGAAGTTCAGAACGCTAATATTATTTTACACATTTCTTTTTTGAATTTTAAGTATTATTTTTATAAGAACGTTTGACACTTTGGTTGCCGGAAAGTCATAAAAATTTCTTTGAACTATATTATGTAGAAAGTATAGACCTTAATAATTAGATCTGAATAATGTTCAAAATCTATAACAGATTTTTACTATTTGGCAACCAAAAAGAACTGTGAGGCACTTTAATTTAAATTACGTTAATTGGATATTAAATAAAACCGTAATTTACTGTTCCAACAATTAGATGCTTCTTACCCGCTCTGCTTAAAGAGACAGTTACAGATATAATGTCTTGTTGCCAGTCCTTGAGGAAGCGGGCAGACCAAATTTATTATCATAATTTGCTATATAAGTACCTAGTTATTATGTTATCTCTAGTCGGTCCTTCATTACTGAGGATCATGATCACTGGCAGTCTTCAAATGAACAGTCTTTCTCCGCCGATACCGCGGCCAGTAGCCCTCACCTCCTTTTTGAACTCGGATAGGGATATAGCTTATTCAGCTGGTCAGACCATCTTGATGGCAAATGTAAATGGTAAATGATGGTAACATACCGTAGTAATTAAATTTTTTATTATATTTTGCATAATTAAATAATTTAGTTATACTATAATAGATACCTTATTTGAGGAATTCAACATGCCCTAATAGCTCAATTATTAGAGCAGTTGCTTTGTAAGCGAAAAGTTAAAGATTCATATCGCGAACACCTGATACGGTTGAATTTTTTATGATTTTTTCTAAAACAGAAAACAGAGTGTTTATTTGCAAATGTTTATTACTGTTATAAAATTTTCAGAAATTTCTTGTGATGGTTATTTTCCTCAGCTAATAGTAACAAATAGAATATTGAAAAGAGTTGATGATAGTTTTTTAGAGCGTCGTTTATTGGTTATCTTGATACAAAACCTTTATAATCTTTTAAATCGTAAGCAAAGTGATGTTGCTTAAAAGGCAAAATACATAAATTCTATATTTTCATTCATAATAGTTTTATTTATATTATGTACATGTCGAATCTCACAACTTCTCTAATAAAAATCCTGTAAAAATACATTTTTAAACATTATTTCACATTTTTTTAATTCGTGTTATTTTTTAACTTTCATTCGCTTCAATTACATCGTGTTTTTTAATTTAAGTACACAGGAAACGAGTGGCGAGTACTTTTGACATATGTCGTAAAAGCTGCACGACCACTTGAATAACATCTGCGTGCACGAAACATCATTTATGTTAAAGTAATTTAAATACATTATATAAACAAATTACACATTAACTTGCTTTTAAACTGAAAATAAGTTAAAGGTGATCTATGAAACTATTTACGTATTTTCTTAATTTAAAAAGATTGAAAATATAGAATTCACTTAAGGACCCTGATTTTTTTTTAATTACTGATAGTGTTTCACAAAGGTTTCGACCGCATCTTCTTAAAACTTCGATGCATACAAAATCACGTTTTAAGAAATTTATATTGTAAGATGGTACGTTTAACAATAAAATAATGCAATTTTCTTTATCGCTCATCAGTTGAAATTGTGAGAAAATGCGAGAATTTCACCAACATTTTGAAGCAAAAAAATATTTCCTTTATTTCGACTTTTGCTACCACCTAGAAATATTCGTAATAACTAAGTAACGTGTTCTATATTATTCCCGTGTTTTTTTTTTCTTTAATAAATGACAGTCATGGTCAAAATTCTCTTTTTCATGTTGGTAGTAATTATAACTATTTTGATTACCAAAACCCATTTTTCTTTCAGCTATGACAATCATAATATGGATAATGACATTTTTGTTTGTTCTTCCATAAGATAGATATTGATAGATATTAGACACGTTTCTTTTTTGCTTAATCAATAGATTATGACGATACATTGAGCTAAAATGTCATATGACATCACGCTTTTGTACATTTTCTACATAATTGTGACGTAGCAACCCAAGTACACTCTCTTAATGCCTATTATCTAATCTATTTTTTGTTAAATTGAAGGAAAAAAAAATACGTATTTAATATTTTTCAATTATAGAACTGACGGACTAAATAGTGTCGATAATTATTAATAATAATCATAAATATTAAAGTTAATTATTAATAATAATCATAAACTTACACATTCTTTACATGCCATTAAATG